ACATGTGAGAGATTACTGGTTTTTTTGTAAATATTCATGCATGAAACAGAGAAGAAAAGGGAGACTTTTTCCAGTTCTGTAGTTTAAACCAGGTAGGAAAGAGTGACTGTAGAAGTTAAGGAAAGAATAGATTGACCATTGTGGATTACTTAGTGACAGTCTTAAAAATGAACATTTTAAATGGAAGGCCATGAAGTTTGGTGTCTAATAGATGGTCATTCCAAAGGAAAAGGGCCTCAGTCTTTGGTCAAGCTTCTTCCCAGTTATGACTGCCTTGGCATTGTGTTATAGTTCATATAAATCCAGAAATATAAGTAAATAGGGAAAAGGGGTCCTTCTGTTCTTTTAATTGAGTTTGATATATAATTCACTCATTTAACATGTACAGTACAGTGAACTGTACATGTTAAGTGAGTCTAATTTTTTATGGACTCACCATGGTCTAATTTTTTAAATTATTTTTTAATTGAGATATAATTCATATATAAAATTCACCATTTTAAGGTTACAGGTCTGTGGTTTTTAAGAATATTTTAGCAGGGTTGTGCAATCATAACCACTGTTGAATTCCATACGTTTTTGTTACCCCTAGAATCAATGTCCTGTTAGCAGTCACTTCTTGTTACCCTTTTCCCCCATTCCAAGGCAACCATTGATCTGCTTTCTGTCTCTTAAGGATTTGCCTATTCTGAAAATGTTATGTAAATGGAATCATGCAAAATGCAGCCTTGGTATCTGGCTTCTTTCACTGAGTTTATGTGTTCAGGGTTCCTCAGTGTTGTAGCATATATCAATAGTTATTCCTTTTCATAGCTGAATAATATTCCATTTGTATGGATATAGCCGATTTTGTTCAAAATCTAATTTTCGAACATTTTGATCACTCTCTAAAGAAACTCTGTATCCATCAATACTCACTGCCCCAATAACCCTAGGCAACCTCTAATCTCCTTTCTGTCTCTGCATATTTGCTTGTTCTGAACATTTCATATAAATAGAATCATAGAATGTGACTTTTTGTGACTGGCTCCTTTCATTCAGCATCCTGTTTTCAGGGTTCCTCTATGTTGTACCATGTGTCTGTATTTATTTTTTATCTCCCAATAATACTTTACCGTATCTATATATAGACATTGTCATATTTTATTTATTCCTTCATCAGCTGATGATTTTTGGATTGTTGTGTCCTTCTGCTTTTACATAGCATTTTTTTCAAAGAAAACTAAATATAAGATACAGTTGCTTATGAATTTGCCCTTTTGTGGACTTTGACAGATTGTCCATTTAACTTACCAGGTGCTGCTTACAAAGAGAAACAGGCCTGTCATAATGTAGGAATTCAGGCTTTCCTTACATCAGATGAAAGAATCACAGCAAGACATGGCTATTTTCCGAGTTTGACTTTTCTATTGAGTCCGTTCTCCCAGTGGCTTCAGGTTTCTGGTATTATCATTCAGTGGAACGTCTTCATTTCCTGGGATGCACCTGAGAAAAATACCACAGCTCACATTGAAACTCAAAGCCCACCGGCTGGCAGAAGCCCTGGGGACAGCATTGTCGTTAGTCAGCGGGGAGCGGTTCTCTGACACCTTTCAATGTCATCAGGCTGTTGTCCAGCATGCCTGATGCTGTCCTCAGGAGTGCTGAAAGAGGAGTCCAGAGATAATGTTACTGGGAAAATTCCATTCCCCCAGTCTTTCTGCACTCAGCCTAATGGCAGTTCGGACATGTCAAGAATTTTCATTTTGATTTTAGCGCATTTGCAATATGAGAGGCAGCCTTGAAGCCTGATGATCAGGGTTCAAATCCTATCCTGTATGGCCTTAGGCAAATTTCTCATCTAGAAAGTGGAAGTGATAGTGGTGGTGGTGGTCTAGTTGCTAAGTTGTGTCCGACTCTTCTGACCCCGTGGACTGTAGCCCGCTGGTCTCTTCTGTCCATGGGATTTCCCAGGCATGAATACTGGAGTGGGTTGCCAGTTCTTTCTCCAGGGGATCTTTCCAGTCTGGGTTCTCAAAAGATGGGAGGACAAAGGGAAACGATACATCGTGTAGCACTTGGTAGGTGCCGACAAGGGCAAATCATCTTCCCTCCTACTTTATTTACATGGTGTTCCTGAAGTTTGGATGGCAGCATCCTGTGGAAGCATCAAGTCAAGGGCCTGAAACTTAGAAAAGCATTCAGTCAATATTAGTTGCATTTGACCCTGAGTTCCCAAAGTCTGGAATTCCTCTTTTAGGTATAGTTTGATGTGTGGGGGGTGTGATGGAAAGAGATGGAGACAGATCTCAGATACTGTATCAGTCAGTTTTTGCTGTGTAACAAACCACCTCAAAAATTTAGTGATCAGCTGGGGCTGACTGGCTTCCAAAGGCTTTATCTAAAACCATGTTGTCAAGGCTTCTCTCTGCTTCCAGGTTTTAAATACATTGCATTTACACATGTTTTCTTCTAGTACTTATGATTTCCATTTTTATAATTAGAGCTCTTTTTCATTTGGAGTTTTCCTCCTTGAAGATAGGAGGTATGGTTACAATGTAGTCTTTCCCCAAACAGCTGTCCAGTTGTTTGATATACATTTAGGCTTTCTGCCTTGTTCTGGTTATTCTCTTCAGCTGGTCCGAACCAGTCCTTTTTTTTTTTTTGATGGTTTGTTTTTTCTGCGCTGTGTGGCATACAGAATCTTAGTTCCCCTGACCAGAGAAGAAACACATCCCCCCTGCATTAGGAGCACAGAGTCTTAACTACTGGATCACCAAGGAAGTTCCAAGATATTTTGTGTAAAAGTACACTGCTTACTGCCTGTGTCAGCCACCTATAGCATGTCACAGTTGCTTGGTTCAAGGAGGCCCTCTAAACACCCATTTTTATTTGTAGGATTAGGGGTAGACTTGCTACAGAGTTGTCTCTGAGCCAAACTTCTCCTTTGGTGATCTCCATAGGAAAGGACTGATCAAAAGGACTTTATGTCCTAACTTGTCAGAAAATCCAAAACACCCCCATTTTTACAAGTTTTATTTTGTTGCAGTTCCTTCAGAACTATATTATGAAATAATATCTTAAATTTAACTTTAAAAGTGTGTAAAAAAATTAAAAAATAAGTGTAAAAAGCACTTAACATCGTACCTAGAACAGACATACCAAAACAGACACTGAACACGATTATTGACTGGTCTAGCAAATATCGTGTTTAATCCCTAATAAATGAGGGGGCAACAGTGAAGTAAGCTACTGGCAGCATCTGGAAGTGGGCAGCTGTTGAACTTGGCAGTGGTGATGGTAAGTAAGACAAACATCTGAGAGACAGTCAGGATGCTAGCTTGAAACTGGGACTGAGCAGATGTCAGGAAATGAGACTGCAGGGAACAGGGGTGCTTGGAGAGAAACACGTGCCGTTCTTTATGTTCTGGGCCCCTACCTGTCCACTTCTTATAGCTCTGAACCTTTTAGTCTTTTTTCCTGGTTACTGGGGGAAAAGGCAGTATAAATCCACATGCAGAGTACTGGGGAAAAAAAAAAGCTTCTGAATTTCCCAGGATTAGATTGTGGTGAACTAGGTACCTTCAGCCAACTAGCTTTTTAAGTCATTCCAGGTAAAGTTGCTCTTTCTGCGATTGTTACTAGTTCTAGTGAGTAACTGCTGTATTCTGCTCTCATATGATAACTGCTGTTACATAACCACTGATTCTGCTCTCTAAGCTGCCCTGCTGTGGGACTGCTAGCCTGAGTCCTTCAACCAGTCTTCCCCAACCACCTGTCTTACAAGATCTTGCCATCTCCTGGGCGTGTGTAACTCTTACAGTCAACTCTTATCTATTTAATATCCTATACGATCTTCTTTACATAGTGAAGTAAGTTAGAAAGAGAAAAACGATATATTAACTCATGTATATGGAATCTAGAAGAACGGTGCAGAGGAACCTGTTTGCAGCACAGGGATAGAGATGCAGATGTAGATAGCGGATTTGTGGACACAGCAGGGGAAGGAGGAGGTGGGACCAAGAGTAGCACTGAAACGTATGCATCCCATTTGTAAAACAGATAGCTCGTGGGAAGCTGCTGTTAGCGGCGCTCAGCCCGGTGCTCTGTGATGACCTCGAGGAGTGGGATGGGTTGGGGGGTGGGAGGGAGGTTCAAGAGGGAGGGATATATGTACAGTTATGTCTGATTCACAGTTAGATGGAAGAAACGAACACAGCATTGTAAAGCAGTTATCCTCAAATTAGAAGTAAATTTAAAAAAAGCTTTGGATCAAGGAAAAAATATTTAAAAGCATTCAATAAAATCACCTATAATCCTGCTATCAGAGATAAATCCTGGTAACATTTTAGTCATATTTTCTTCTAGTCATGTTTTTTCTCCTATGTATAATTTTACCGAGTTGAGATTGTACTGTGTATATAATATTGTATCTTATTTTTCCTCCTTAACTTTATCATAAGCCATTTGTAAACAGTGTTTTAAAAGTTATATAATATTTCACGGAGCGGATTGTGACATACTTGGATTTTCTTTTTCAGACCTGTTTTTCTCATTCGTCAAATTAGATCATGAGATTGCCAAGGGAAATCAATCAGTCTGTGGTGTCATCCCCTTTCCTGACTCTGATGCCTATGGAACATATTATATATGTAGACGATTAATAAATATTTTGGCTTGTGTGCCTCTTTTCAGTCTAAATGTTATAGAAAACTCTTTGCTATCAGGGATCCAAAAACTATGACTTTGCAGCTGACTCAGAGTCGTTGCATCACCAAGTCTTTCCGTTTAGAAAGAGGGACCCAGAGAGGGCCATGAATCCTCTGAAATCCTATGGAATGTATTATGAATGAGAATTTTTTGGGTGCATTTTCCTGTACTTTTCACTAGAACATTAAAGGATTATCTAACAAAAAGCCACTGATTCCGTAACAGTAGCCCACCTGGAGACAGATCCATTTACTAAACTTGTCTGAAATCTGAGATAGTATATTTCACCTTGTATTTGTCTTGGTTTTCAGGAAGGGATGAGACCATGCAGCCTGCCAGACCGTCGTTCCTTGAATACTTTGAACAAAAAGAAAAGGAAAATCAGATCAACAGCTTCGGCAAGAGTGTCCCTGGCCCACTGCAGAACTCTTCAGATTGGAAAGTTCCCCAGGATGGAGACTATGAATTCGTAAGTAGAGTTGGAAGCAGATGGTCATGTCTGCTGGGGAAAGCTGTTTGAAAGATCACATATCCAATTCTGTTTTTACTCTCGAAGTGCAAAGTGCTTGAGCATTTTCTTGTGCAGCTCACACTTCGTCCAAATGCCCCTGGCAGTAGCTCCTGGCCCGAGGGCCTCCAGGGTCTTGAGACAACATTTTGACTGACGTTTGAACTGTTCCGAGGACCCCCAATTAGTGGCATCCACTTTTTTTGTGACCATCCAAAGCAGCTTTAATAATTATTTCCTCACTTGTCATTTTTCTTTTATTGAGTTTGAAATTGTTAACGGTAAAAGAAATATTCAGTCATCCGATGAAGATGCACTGTCTTTCATAGCCTATCTGGGCTTGTGATTTTTTTAAGAATTAGACCGCAGGGAAATTAGTGCTGCTTTATTGCATCTTTGTTGTTTGGTTAACCATTATCCTAATATTAGGCTCTCTGAGAGGATTATTCTGAATTTTGTCTGAGGATGAATATTAAATCTTTCCAAAGTTTCCTCTGAAAAACTGGGTGTGTTTTTCCTTTTTCTGCTGTGGAACATTCTCCCTCAACCACAGACACTTGCTAATGTTTGCAGAGATTTAATGAGTAGAGTCAGTTTAAAAAAAAATGGAAAAAAATAAGCTAAAGAGTCTGCATTCCTTTTCTAGAATTTTCTCTTTAGGATTATTTAGTTTTTATATTTGTCAATTCTATCATAATTTTGTTGTTGTTTATAAGAGCTTAGTTTGGGCATTCTGTTTGGACTTGGGGAAACTTTCCAGTCCTGGCTTTATCCTGTCTTACTAACTGGCCCAGAGGAAATGGTGTCATTCTTCCACAACATAGTTTCTGCTTTTGTAGAGTAGCAGGAATGTCAGAGTTTATACAACTAAGGATAACAATCTTCTGAGGACCAGAATAACTCACCTGAAGTTACTTAACCTGTTAGTCCCTGAACCCATGTTAGGACCCAGGTTCCTTTGTTTTTATCATCTGTTTGTTTACTCACTGATTTATTCATCATCTGCTATTATCATCTATTTTTTCATTCATTTATTTATTAATTCTTTGGGTGCCAGTATGTGCCTGACATTTTGCTAAGGGTATAGGGGTGAACAGAACCATCAGAAACTCATTCCTCATGGAGGTTCATTTTAGAAGAAGAAAAATTAAAAAAAAAAAAAGAAGAAAAATAAGAAAGTAAACTATTGTGTCTGATAGTGATAAGTGTTGTAGAAAGTATGGAGCAGGAGAGGGAGATTGGTGGGGAAGGGAAGGGAAAAAGGAGGTGGGGGGGAGTGTGTGTGAGTGTGTGTGAATATGTAGCAGTTTTAAATAACCAGTTGAGGAAGGTCTCATTGGTAAGAAGATAAGAGAGTGAACTTTGTGACTATCCAAAGTGGCTGGAATAGCAAGTGTAAAGTCCCAAGGCAGCGATTTGCTTAGTGTGTTGGCAGAACAGTGAAGTGAATGGTACATCTGGAATGGCATCAAGGGGACATGCTGTAGCAGGAAATGAGATCAGAGGAGTAATGAGGAGTCAAATAACAGGGCTTTTTGTGTAATAATAATAACTTCAACTTTTACTCTGAGTAAAATGGAAAGCTACTGGCAAGATGTGACTTGATCCTACTTAACCTTTTGAAAATATTATATTGGTTGCTGTATTGATACACTATAGAAAAGCTAGATTTGGTGAACACAAGTGTACCTGTTATACAAAACAGGCCCGTCTGCTGCCTTTTCTCTCTTCTAGATCTTTGGCATTCATGGTTTTGCACTGTGTCAGGATTCAGCTTCAGAATCCTCCTTAAGACAGTGTTCCAGGCTGCCACTATTATTTAGAGTAGACCCATGAGACTTGAATCATCAGGTTTGCAATTCCATCTTGCCTCTGTAGTTGTCTTGGACATCTTTGAAAGGACTGATTTTCTCAGTGAGTCTTTAGGCAAAGTGAAACAATTCCCAAGTGCCAAATCACATCACCATTGTGATGGGATGTTTGAGAATCCTCAGATCTGTAGTCCCCAGGTCTAGTTAGTGATCCTAGAGATTCTGGTCACTTTAATCATTAATTTGGGATCAGTAGTTCCCATGTTTGAAGAACTCATTTCTCTCTGCCATCGTTTTCCCAAACTTAGATCCCTGGCAGAGAATTTATTTGGACGGGCAAGCTACTTACACACAGGGGCTTTAGTAGGTTTTTAGAGAAAGAGCTTTTTATTTGGGAAGCAGATGACCACTGGGGCGAGTGCGCCTATGAGCACAGTGACTAGATTAGAACTTTGCCCAGCATGTATTCTTCCCGGCTGGTGCAGGAGGAAGGTTCTGAGACTTACCAGAAGTTATTACCTGGCATCATCCAGCTCACATACCTTTATTTGTGTCCTATGCAGTGTTTAAACATTTTAAATTAGTTGCCTGTGTTTGAAAATTGAGAGCTTCTACATAAAATGTTGGAACTCCAGCTTATTTTGAAAACTTGGAAGAGCTGACCGTAAAAGACCTACATTAGAAGGAAATCTATTTTTATTAACGTATTGGTTGTGCTGGGACTTCCTTGCTGCGCAGGCTTTTCTGTAGCTGTGGCAAGCAGGGGCTGCTCTCTAGTTGCGGTGCGCAGGCGTTGCCGTGGCTTCTGTGGTTGCCAAGCACAGGCTCTAGGGCACTTGGACTTCAGTAGTTGCAGTGCCTCGGCTCAACAGTTATGGCTCCCGGGCTCTAGAGCACAGACTCAGTAGTTGTGATGCACGAGCTTATTTGCTCTGAGGCTTGTGAGGCTTCCCGGATCAGGGATCGGACCTATGTCTCCTAAACTTGCAGGGGGACTCTTTACCACTGAGCCACCAGGAAAACCCCCAGACCTACATTTTTTAAAAAACTTTTTTTTTTTTTTTGCATTTTTGGCTGCACTGGGTCTTTGTTGCTGCATGCAGGCTTTCTTTGAGTTGCGGTGAGTGGGCTTCTCATCATGGTGGCTTCTTTTGTCGTGGAGCTGGGGCTCAGGCATGCCGGCTTTGGTAGCTGTGACTTTCAGGCCCTAGAGAGTGGACTCAATAGTTGTGCTGCAGTGAAGAGTTTGCATGCTCCAAGACATGTGGGATCTTCCAGGACCAAGGACAGAACCCATGTCCCCTGTGTTGGCAGGTGGGTTCTTAACCACTGGACCACCAAGGAAGTCCAAGATACACATTTAAAAAATTAATTTATTTATTTTAATTGGAGGCTAATTACTTTACAGTATTGTGGTGGTTTTTACCTTACATTGACATGAATCAGCCATGGGTGCACCTGTATTCCCCATCCTGAACCATCCTCCCATTTCCCTCCCACCCCATCCCTCTGGGTTGTCCCAGAGTACCAGCTTTAAGTGCCCTGCTTCATGCATCGAACTTACACTGGTCATCTATTTTACTTATGGTAATAATACATGGTTCAATGCTGTTCTCTCAAATCATCCACCCTCACCTTCTCCCACATAGTGCAAAAGTCTGTTCTTTACATCTGTGTCTCTTTACTGTCTTACATATAGGGTCGTCATTACCATCTTTCTAAATTCCATATATATGCGTTGGTGTATTGGTGTTTGTATTGGTGAATTGGTTTTGATGTTGGTGTTTCTCTTTCTGACTTACTTCACTCTATGTAATAGGCTCCAGTTTCATCCACCTCATTAGAACTGACTCAGATGCATTATTTTTTAGAGCCAAGATACATTTTTGATTGATAGGTTGTCTGGAGCTGAGTAGAAGCTGCTCTCTTCAGATCTGACCACCCCAGTTCTCCTCAAGATCCCATTGACTTCACTCACTTGTATTAAGTTTCTGACCTGTCTGGCGTATAAGCCATTTGATCTGGGGACTCCTGGTCTAAATCATTTGGATTTATATATGTCCACATTGTGTCTGAGTCACCCCATCCTGACAAAAAATTTTATTCTAATGTTACCTTGAAAATTTCAAGAGAATTCGCTTCTAAGAGAATTTCAGACTAAGCAGTGAGAGAAAATTGAGGTAGGATGTACATGATCTGGGCTTCCCTGGTGGCTCAGATGGTAAAGACTCCACCTGCAATGCAGGAGACTCGGGTTCAATCCCTGGGTTGGAGAGATCCCCTGGAGAAGGGAGTGGCTCCCCACTCCAGTATTCTTGCCTGAAGAATCCCATGGACAGAGGAGCCTGGCGGGCTACAGTCCACGGGGTCGCAGAGAGTCAGACACAATTGAGTGACTGCCACTTTTTCCATACATAAGCTACTATACCAAAAGGTTCCAAAGATCAGATGAAAACTGTTCTTAATGCCTCAGTACTCTTGCTGTATGGCCTGAATCCCAAATCAAGTACTTAAAATAATAGTCTAAGTAATCAGGTACTTAAAATAATAGTCCTCTGTCCATGGAAGTCTCCAGGCAAGAATACTGGAGTGGGTTGCCATTCCCTTCTCCAGGGGATCTTCATAACCCAGGGGTCAAACCTGGGTCTCCTGCATTGCAGGCGGATCCTTTACCATCTGAGCCACCAGGAAAGTCCCCTGATCTAAAACAGTGTTTCTCAAAGTGCAATTCCCAGATAAGCAGTGTCAGCATCACCTGGAAACTTGTTGGAAATGCAGGTCTCCCGCATTGCAGGTGGATTCTTTACCAGCTGAGCCACAAGGGAAGCCCTTCTTTTCTCAGTTCAGTTCAGTCGCTCAGTCGTGTCTGACTCTTTGCAACCCAGTGAATCGCAGAACGCCAGGCCTCTCTGTCCATCACCAACTCCCAGAGTTTACTCAAACTCATGTCCATTGAGTCGGTGATGCCATCCAGCCATCTCACCCTCTGTTGTCCCCTTCTCCTCCTGCCTCCAATCCCTCCCAGCATCAGGGTCTTTTCCAATGAGTCAACTCTTCACATGAGGTGGCCAAAGTATTGGAGATTCAGCTTCAGCATCAGTCCTTCCAGTGAACACCTAGGATTGATCTCCTTTAGGATGGACTGGTTGG